GTACGCCGATGATCCTGACAGGAGGCAGGGAAACCCTAAACCCTAAACGCCTAAATTAAGGAGGGATCCTAAACGTGATTCAACACATTTCTGGGGTGGTTGCAGTCTGTGGGAGAATTAGAGTTTAGGGTTTAGGGTGCTGTCTGTGGGAGAATGCCGACGCTCCTCAGGGTCGTGTAGAGGATGACCTCAGCCTGTCGGCGGGCTTGACAGCGGTTTTTCTTTGCTTCAATCGCCGCCGGTTTGGGGGTTTTTACGTCCGCCCTGCGCCACCCACGCTATGTGTAAGAAATTTAACGGCTTGGGAGTCAGGGTTTGGGAACAGGTGGCATCAAGGAAAGGTCAGTGGGGGAATTCCAAACACCGTTTATCAGGTGTCCTGAATCACACAGCGGCTAATGTAAGGTTGTGCGCAAGTCAGTCCAATGCTGCCCTCATCCCACATAGAGCCTAATCCCGAAAATCTCGACCGAAAGACTCAAACACGAAACCCTAAACCCTAAACCCTAAACCCTAAACAAAACACCAAAAAACACTAAAGCCTTCAATCGTATGCAGCCTTCTACGGCCTGTCTGGAATCCTTTATAGACGATGTAGGGAGTCCTTATAGAAAGAACACCTCTAGAACCCCTATGAGACCCCGGTATAGGGAGTCCTTAACAGAACACTTCTAGAACCCGAAACCCTCCAAATACGGCCTGGCTCTGAGGTTTCCCCGCTGCTTCAACGTCGGCCATGGCGCCAGAAAGAAGCGAAGGGAGGGGGACGGTTTGTAGCGCTTGATCCGAGAACTTAAGGAACAGTTAGGGTTTAGGGTTTAGGGATTAGGGTTTAGGGTTGAGGGTGGTAGTTGAGGGCTTGGGGTTCAGGGTTTAGGTCTTAGGGCGCTGGGCGGAGGTTATGGGCTTTGTGTGTAGGGTTCGGGAGCTAGGGAACAGGGTTATGAGTTCAGGGCATAGAGTAAAGGGTTGGCACTTGATCCGAGAACTCCTAGAGGGCCCCAGAAAAGATCTGACTTTGATATGTATACAGCTTCGGGTTTTTCGGATTAGTGTTCAGGGTTTGGGGGTAATTCTTGGACTCGGATTCTTCACTATGAGCGGATGAAAGAACCCCAAAGTGTATGCCTTTACTAAGGCATGTCAACCCTAAGCCTGAAGCCCTCAACGCGACGCTGCCCCGGTAAACTTCAGAACCGCACGACCTAAAAAGCGCCGTAGACTCAGTGTCCACTTCATAAGGAATCCTACATAAGAACCCCCTAACCTTAGCAAATCATAATCAACCCCTCACAACAGTGCCATCCCCAATCAAAGAGCCAATTGAAGGCGCCCATCTTTTTAACTGACTTGTAACATCCTTGGCAAATCGCGTGGAAATCTAGAACCGACACGATGCTGCGCAAATCTCGAAAAAAACGCCCTAAACCCCGAAACCCTAAGGCCCTAAAGAAGGTTTAGGGTTTAGGGTTTAGGGTTTAGGGTTGAAAACTGGAAGCGGAACACCGAGGCCTTGCCCACAAGGCGTAGGCCACAGGAGCCATTGCCTTTCAGACAGAAGGCTCCGGCCCGGGGTTGCTTCGAGAGATAACATAGGGGCCTTAATAGTTAGAATAGGGTTTAGGGTTTAGGGTTTAGGGTTTAGGGTTTAGGGTTTAGGGTTTAGGGTTTTTGGTTTAGGGTTCCTTTATAGTAGGAGCCAGAAAGTTGGAACATGGGGTTTTGGAGGATTCGTGCTGGGATCCCTTATACTTTACCTTAAGGGCATGAGGGTCACCATGTTCCAACTTTCTGGCTGCTACTATAAAGGGTTACTCTAAGGATTATTTTCAGGTTTCATTAAGGGTTCAATGCAGGGGCCTTTATAATTAGTGGTGTAGGGTTCCCTTAAAGGCTTGCTATAAGGGTTATTATAAGGGTTCTATAAGGGTTTTGTAAAAAAGGGCCTTTATAGTTAGAACAGGGTTTTGGGATATATTATACTATGATTACCATAAGGAACCCCCAAAATAACATAGGTCATTATTTCCGCCCCTATCTGATTACGGCCGGGCCATGCGCAGTGAGCACACCAGTTGTTCTCGGTGGTCGCGCTGCCGAGCTGGCTATTGACAGCCCATTTGAGTTTTTTCAGGGGTGAAACTGTCCCGAGGAGATCTTTCACTGACTAGGCTTGGTTTTCGCCCAGAGCAGGAGAAACATCGGGTTTGGAGGAACTCCGTTTGGGGCCCTGCCTCTCGTGAAGAACAGGAGAATCATTGGATTTGAAGGAAACCCCGTTGGGGCTGAGGCGCCGCATCAAGCAGGTGCATCCACCAAAGGAGAAGAAGCTCGCCACTGCGGCCAGCAAAACGCTCGCAGCTGAGAGCGCCAAGCCATTTGCTTCCGCAAAACCTGTAGGTTGAGGGCTGAGGGTTTTTAGTTAGCGTACCTTCTTGGGTGCGTTCTTTTCAAAAGGATCCTACTTCTGAGGGTGCAGGTAGGGTTCCTTACGTAACGAACCCTGAAAGGAACCCTCTTCTAACCTTCAAGACCCTCATACTGAAACCGTCTACCCTAAACCCTAAACCCTGAACCCTGAACCCTGTATAGTAGAACCCTTATGGAATCCTTTTTTCAGAAGCCTCCCGCCTGTTAGCTGAAAGGATCCAAACAAGAACGCCACGACCAGGAGCCAGATCCCGAAAGTGACCAGGAGGTCAATGCAACCTCAGCTCCCACTTGGAGGATCAGGGGACTTAGTAAGTAAGGCTATAAGTCCCTTAATTGGGGTTATAAGTATAGTTACCCTAATTATAACCCTACTTACTAAGTCCCATGACCCTTTGAGCAAGGGTGGTTTGGGGATGAGGGTTTGGGGTTTGGGGTTTGGGGTTTAGGGTTTAGGGTTTGGGGTTGAGGGTTCGGGGCTTAGGTTTTGAGGTTTAGGGTTTGGGGTTTGGGGTTTGGGGTTTGGGGTTTAGGGCTTGGGGTAGACCAACTAGTTCCAGGAGACCTCCCAAAACATCCCGCCGCAGTATTTAGGGTGTAGGCTTTGCGCTGCGCTTTTGCCGATGATTCCCAGGAGACCAGCCCTAAACCCTAAACCCTAAACCCTATTACTTCCCTACATCCGAGAACCCTAGCGCCCTCGAGCCCGCAACGCCTAAAGCCTAGAAGCCCAGAGCCCACAAAAAGAAGCCTTGAAAGAATCATGTCAGTAGGACCAGACCCTAAGCTCTAAACCCTAACCCCTAAACCCCTAAACCCTAAGCCCTAAACCCTAAGCCCTAAACCCTCAACCCAAAGCCCTAAACCCTTAACCCCAAAATCACACTTAACCCCAAACCCAAAGCCCAAAAACCTAAACCCTACACCCAAAGCCCAGGAAGCCCAAGCCGGAGAGGCTGCAACGATCACAGAGGAAGAACACGAGCTGCATCGACACGAGGCGCCAAAGAACCTGATAGGGCTTTGCAACTTGGTCTTAGGGTTTTAGGGTTTAGGGTTTAGGGTTTAGGGTTTAGGGTTTTAGGGCTTTAGGGTTTTAGGGTTTAGGGCTTAGGGCGCATGCCGAAGATGAGTTGAAAGATTGGCCATAGGGCTTTCGGATTGTGGGATCCGGGGTTCAGATTCTGTGTTTAGGGTTTAGGGTTGAGGGTTTAGGGTTCAGGGTTCAGGGTTCAGGGTTCAGGGTTAAGTGTCTCAGGCGTCAGGGAGCCCCACAGCCAGCTTGAGCACGCTTTGCAAAGACCCTGGTCAAACCTGTCTCCTAAATCCCACTACAAAACCCTTTATTACTCACCTATAGAAACCTATTCGCAAACCCCCCAAACAACTTTCGACATTGATATAGCAACCCCTCAACCCTAAACCCGAAACGAAAACCCGGCGAATGCTAGGAAAGGACCCACCTGGCTCAGGACGGACGCCAAGAGCTGAGACAGAACCGTCTCTATCGGTGCTCCTCCTGGATCGGCTTTTCCGGTGGTTAGGCGTTTGTGGTTTCGGGCTCAGGTTTCTAGGGTTAGGATTTCGGGTTTAGGGTGTAAGGCTTACTGAGTTCAAGGGCTTTTTGGAGGGCTGCTCAAGCTTGGTAAGGTTTGAAGGAAGGTTGCTATACGGGATTCAGGGTCCTAGAGTCCCAGGGCTCAGGGCTCTAGGGTTGGCTTCTTAGGGCTCAGGGTTCTCGAAAGCTTACGGCCAGAGGTTCGGCGCTGCCAGGTTGTAAGCTTTAGCCTTTAGGGTTTAGGGTTTAGGGTTGGGGTTCGGGATACACTGGGCTTCCGACGTGAGGGAACATGCTTCTGTCGGAGAATGACCGAGGTCCCTTGGGAGTTTCCGAAAATACGGGATACCTCATTTCGAGCTCCGTAATAGTAAGGATCCTACAATTTCGGGTGCTGTAGTAGGGTCACCTATTTTCGGAAACCCCCAATTCAGAGAACCCCTAAACTCCAAACCCCAGTCTCTGTAACTTGCATGGCCAGAACCGGATTGTAGCCTGACTGCCCCGAAAAGCCTTTGCGGACAAGCAGCGGAGGGGCCTCAAGAATTAGAACAGGGTTTAGGGTTTAGGGGAAGGAACCATATTGCTAACTATTCAAAAACCCGGGGTAACCTCCAGAAGGTCCTCATGAGACTTCGGAACGGTCCCAAATGAGCAGCGCGAGAAGCCCTAAACCGTAAATGTCAAAAGCATACAACCCTAAACCATAGTCGTAGCAATCATAAAAGCTCGAAGCAGTAATATCTACCCTCACCATCCAATGACCGGTAATGGAAATTGACGGAACGATAATATTGCTAAGAAGTATATTTTAAACATGAAGATATTCATAATGCTCACAAACATTAAGAACATGAATAGTAACAACCAGATGAACAATACTAACAATGCTCGATAACCTGAAGGTTCAGGTGATAAGACCGTGTGATGAAACAAACAACATGCTGAGCATGAAAAATACTCAACATACGAAACAAAGTCAAGTGCTCCTGTTCATGATGTTTTTAAGAACCGCAAGAATAACATAGTGCAAAATACAGGTAGTAATAACAATAGAAATGAAAATACAAACAAAAAAACTCGAAATCATAGAATGAAAATATTACTGGTGCTAATGGTATTCATAATTCATAACATCAAATATATTACCAGAACTTTCTACGTAATACTAACAACAACAACAACAACAACAACAACAACAACAACAAGTACTACTACTACTACTACTACTACTACTACTACGACTACTACGACTACTACGACTACTACTACTACTACTACTACTACTACTATTACCACTGTTCTTAATAAAAACAGTAGCTACGTTGTGCATAATGATATTCGCAATATTAACAATATAGTCAAACCGAAGCTAGCAATAGTAATGTTGATGACCTTGATAATGACGACACTGTCCATGATGTTGGCAATGAGCCTGTTAGTGAGCGTGCTGCGATCATGACCATAGGAACAATCAAGACAACAGTAAACTTTACGGCAGAGAGAAACTTATGACGGAAATAAAGATAATGACAATGGTAGTGCTAACGGTAATGATAGTAATGAGAATGACAATGATCATGATAATGGTGGTAGGAACAGTATTGGCACAATAGTGATAGTATTTGTACCAGCAAAAGCAAGAGTAAAGAGCAACAGCATTTAAGCAGTTGTGAGTCTAATGGTAATGGTAACAGCTTAGTACCTGTCATTACTATACATATTTACACATATATATATATATATATGCACATACATATATATATATATATGTATGTCTACTCGTCGTAGCACGGAGCCTATTAGCCCTCCGGGCCTCGGATGAAGGCAACAGTGAACTCCAGAAGTGAACTCATCTCAAAGAGACCGATGAGGATCCAATATCTCAACGGCACCTGGTGGCGTCGGGGTTATTTTTAAAGAATCCACAGGTGTGGGGTTTAGGACTTTGGGTTTAGGGTTTTGGGCAGTCGGGGCGGGGGTTTCGGGTTTATGCATTTTGAGGGTTTAGGGTTTAGGGAGATCTAGGCTTTAGGGCTTGCCCTTTGAAACAGAATTCCCAGTCGAAGAAGGAGCCCTAGACCTAAGACCCGGCCCTTCACTTCCTGAACCCCTCCAACGGCCTACGGTTTAGGGTGTAGGGTGTTGGTTGAGGGTTTATTTTTGGTGTTGCTGCCATTCTCCCTGGGCTAATGGCATGTGCTTGTGCTTTCATAAATTTGGGGGTTTCCGAAAATAGGGGACCCTACTATAGTACCCTAAAGAATAGGATCCTTATTGTAAGGACCCCAAAATAAGGTACCCTAATTTTCTGAAACTCCCAAATTTATCCTGAACCCGCAACCCGACAGCCCTGACCTGGAAGGTCAAGAGTGGAGACACGAGCTCTTGGAAGACAGGTCCTCTCACGTACTCCGTGAAGGCCTCATAGCTGCCGTACCTTGGGACGTAATGCAGGGGCCTTAATAACTAGAATAGGGTTTTGGGCTCCTTTATAGTATATTTATAATACAGAACCCGAACAATAATACTGGTACTTATTTGGGCTTTGGGCTTCTATATTAGAAGGCTAGACGGAAGGTTTGGCGGTCTGGGGATGACGGGTGGCGGCTTGGGGCGCAGGGTTTTTGGAATACAGGCAGTTCACGCCCTGGGTGTCTTTGACCGGGAGGGGGGGGGGCTTCGCACTGGTATTTGGAGCAGCTAACTAACAAGGATTGAAAGTTTGGGTTGTTTCTAAACTGAGATATGTTACGGAACCCTAGGGCATGGTATTCCCGCATATTGAACGTGCCAGCTTATTGTGACTGTAGCAACGGATAGTCAGGCGAAACAAGTGTGATAGGGGTGCGCCACATCGCATTCGATCTACGAGACAAGCTTTCGAGCAATGTCTTGGCTGGAAGCCACGATAGGATCAACCTCGCCCAGAGTTTGCTGCAGAGAGTTCAACAGCAATGGGGCATTTGCTGTAGATCACGTCCGGAGCATGTTTTGGGGAGTCACCGTAGAACACGCATTTGGGAAAGTCTTCCCAAGAACATCCGCGGCCTTGCGGTGTTCTCGGAGAATTACTACATAGAATAGGACTTTGGCGCATATCATAGTATAAACTTATATTCTGGAACTGTCTGAAAAATGTTACAACTTACTCAGAGTCGGTATGCCAGAACCCTAAACCCTGAACCCTAAATCCCAAACCTTTATACCCTAAACCCCAAACCCCTAACCCCTAAACCCTCAAGCTTCAAGGATACCATGCACGGATCCCGGCGTAGATGAATCTCCGGTCGAAGTCGTTGCTGCCTTAGTCCCCCGTAGACCCTTCGGAATGGCCTCACTACAGGGGCGTAGGGTTTAGGGCTTTAGGGCTTNNTTAGGGGTTTAGGGGTTAGGGTATTTTAGCGTTTAGGGGTATTTTAGGGTTCAGTGGTTGGGGTCGAGGGTCCCCTTCCAAAACCCTGTACTGTGCAACCCTTACCCTTTAAAAAAAAACCTGTACTGCAGAGGAACCCAAAGCAACCCAAAACAACCCAAAAATAACCCTAAGCCCTAAAAGGGTACTGCCGCAAAACCAAAGCACAGGAGGCCAGGCTCAGATCAAATTTTCGGAGATTCGCCAGAAGCCTGTGGGTGCAGGGTTTAGGGCTCTTGTTAGGGAGTTTATGGTGTAGGGTTTAGGGCTTTGGGTTTAGGGTTTAGGGTAGGGCTCTTGTTAAGGAGTTCAGGGTTTAGGGTTTACCATAATATAAGGAAGGCCATGTTGTTTATTGCAGATCCTCACTGTGGTAACTTAGGCCCTAAACCCTTCTGAAGCCCTTGTAGACCCCTTACGGGAACCCTCATAGATCCCTAAACCCTAAACCCTAAACCCTAAACCCTCATAGATCCCTGTTGCGGGTTCCTTAGATGAATTTCCCTCACCCCAAACCCTTTGAGAATCCCAAAAGAACCGGAACCCTAACCCTACTCTGTACTGTAGATCCCTAACTATAGTACCTTAAGACGTACGATAGATCCCTATCATGGTAAGTTAAGACGTACTATTGCTCTCTACTATGGTAACTTCAGAATTACTATAGAACGCTGCTATAGTACCTTAAGAGTTACTGCTGATCCCTATTCTTGTAAGTTAAGAAGTACTGTAGATCCCTAGTATGGTAACTAAAGAAGTACTGTAGCTCCCCATAATGGTAACTCAAGAAGTACTGTAGCGCCCGTATCCTAGATCCCTATTATGGTAACTCAAGTTGAGCTAAATCCTAAACCCTAAACCCCAAACCCTAAACCCTAAACCCAAAACCCAAAGTTGAGCCCCTTTAAGAAGAGCCCAGAAGCTGGCGTTTCTGGCCAAAGGTGATCCGAGCCTTTCGCAGCTCTTTTCCGCGGGCTTTCAGGTTTTTTTAAGCAAGGGTTTAGGGTTTAGGGCTGTGGGTTTTGGGGTTTGGGGTTTAGGGTTTAGGGCTTAGGGTTTCGGGCTTGGGCTTGAGAGTCTGGAGTTTAGGCTTTAGGGTGTAGGGGTTTATGGTTTAGGGCTTGGGCTTCAGTGTCTAGGGTTTAGGGCTTAGAATTTAGGGTTCAGGATTTAGGATTTACGGTTTAGGGTTTGGGCTTCAGAGTTTAAGGTTCAGGGTTTCGGACCGTTCAGTCGTTGAGCGCTTTAGGGGCTTTGGGGTCAGGGTGAGGCGTTTAGGGCTTGGGGCTTCGAGGATGGGAAGGGGCACCCCCTGTAGCTGGGTTGGATTCACGCTTCACGTGAAGCTCCTACAACATTTGCTATGCATATGGACATATACATATACACATACATACACATGTACATATACATATACCCTAAACCCTAAACCCTAAACCCTAAATACTTCAGAGACCAAGCCCCCGGCCTGGTGGATGCAGAGAAGTATGGGAAGCAGTCCCAGGAACACAAAGATCTGCGAGGCAGGGACGAAGGTGTAGAGCAAGAAGTGCAAAAGCTGCATGAACAGCAGCCACAGCAAGATGAGGCCAACGAGCACCTCAACCTTTCTTTAGGGTTTAGGGTTTAGGCCTCTCTTCGGGATGTAACTTGTCTGTATTTTAGACCACCGGTGCAGACTTAGCCAAAAACATAGTTTTGAAAAGAAGTTCTCCCCATGCCGAAGCATGACATGGGGGTTTCTGAAAATAGGGGACCCTAATATAGTACCCTAAATAATAGGATCCCTAATATAAGGACCCCTAAACCCTAAACCCTAAACCCCAATTTTCGGAAAATCCCACATACAGCGGAGCCAGCACGATCTTCCCGCTCGGGTTCGCTTTCCGGAAGGCGGCCAACTCGAAGACGCACCTGGGCAGTTCTCTAAAATAGGGTCCCTTTTGAGGTCCTTTTTAGAAGGGTGCCGCACTATATTGGGGACCTAAAAAGGGACCCTAATTTAGAGAACTACCCACCTGGGTGTTCTGCCCGGCTTCGTGGAAGAGGCCAGGGTACGTAGCGTTTGGCATTCAGCAAAGCGAGAATATCTACCAAGAATTGGTTAGGGTTTAGGGTTTAGGGTCTAGGGTTTGGGGTTTACGGTTTAGGGTATAGGGGTTTATGGGTTTAGGGGTTTAGGGTTTAGGGCTTAGGGTTTAGGGTCTTCCCCCAAACCCTCTTCTAACCATGCCGGCCCCTGTATTGTCCTGTGCCGGCTCCTAATCAGAGTCGAGAGACCTCCTCCTCACTCACCCCCGCTGCAAGGGACGGGGATTGGACGCTCTCTGCTCCGAAAAAAGCGGCCAAATCGCATGGGGTGGGCTTTAATAGTTCGAATAGGTCTTGTGGTGTACTAGATAATAAGGAACCCCAGGAATATAATAACACTAGCAATGACAAAAGATGAGCGAGCAGGAAGAGCAGGTCCTGACCGCGAAAACCCCACCCGCAATAAAGACTCCAACAGACCCAGAGACTCCAAAACCCCTTAATTAAGGAATATAGATTAAATTATAATAGGATCCCTAATATGGTTTAAGGTATATTCCTTAATTAAGGGGTTTTGGAGTCTCTGGGGAGCTCCTAGTTCTCAGGCGCTATGAACCAGGGGCATACAGTAGACATGAAGCCCTCACCAACGGCCTGTATAACTCTATAACCATCCACAAACATCTGATGAAACCCATCCGGTCCCTAGACCCTAGACCCTAGACCCGAGACCCTAGACCCTAGACCCTAGACCCTAGACCCTAAACCCTAAACCCTAAAACCTAAACCCCAAACCCTTATAAAAAAAAGACCTCAAAACAGGCTTTGCTTCAGACCCGGGCGCCAAAGCCTCGTGAAAAGCGGTGGACTCCAGAGGACCATCAGCTCCCGAGAGAGAGCCAGGAAACCTTCGGAAAGGGCTTTGGGGATTCGGGCTTTGAGGGGTTTAGGGGTTAGGGCTTTTATGGCTTTTAGGGTTTGGGGTTAAGGGTTTAGGTTTAGGGGTTAGGGTTAAGGGTTTAGGATTTAAGGCTTTTAGGGTTCGGGTTTAGGGTTTAGGGTTTAGGATTTGAGGCTTTTAGGGTTTAGGGTTTCGGATTTAGGGCTTTTAGGGCTTTTAGGGTTTGGGGGTCTAGGGCTTAGGGCTTTTAGGGTTTAGGGATTAGGGCTTTTAGGGTTTAGGGTTTAGGGGTTAGGGCTTTTAGGGCTTTTAGGGTTTAGGGGTCTAGGGGGCTTTAAGGGTTTAGGGATTAGGGGTTTGAGGGGTTTAGGGGTTCAGGGGATTAGGGCTTTGAGGGGTTTAGGGCTTTTAGGGCTTAGGGCTTTGAGGGGTTTAGGGCTTTGAGGGGTTTAGGGCTTTAAGGGTTTAGGGGTTGAGGGGTTAGGGCTTTGAGGGGTTTAGCGCTTTCAGGGTTTGGGGTTTAAGGTTTCGGGTTCAGGTTTAGGGTTTAAGGCTTAGGGTGAAGGTTTCAGCTAGGGTTTAGGGTTTGGGGCTTCAAACTTCAGGGCTAGGGTTTAAGGTTTAGCCTATCAGTGCCTATCAGGCTTTGAGGTTTAGTAATTTAGGGTTCAGGGATTTAGGGATTTAGGGTTTAGGATTCGTCTTGTTAAGATGCGTTGCTAAACTTACCACTGCAAGAAAGCCCAGGCTGCACTACCCGTCCCTATTTCGGTAGTTCTCCAATTCAGGATCCCTTTTAAGGGTCCCTTTTGTAAGGGTGCCGTACTATTTTGGGTGACCTAAAACTGACAGATTTAGAGAACTACACATTTAGCAACCTTTCATCGAAGTCCTTCACAAGAGATAAGAAGAAAAGGCGGTGTCCTTTGACGATCGGGGTCGAGGGTCTGGGCTGGCCGGGTTCTGTCTGGGGCTTTCATGGGAGTTTCCGAAAATAGGGGACCCTAATATAGTACCCTAAATAGTAGGACCCTTATTATAAGGACCCCAAAATACGGTACCCTAATTGGGTTTCGGGCAGGGCTTCGGGTTTAGGAGTTGGGAGGCTTCGGGATGTTGAGGTTCCAAGGTTGAGGGTTTAGGGTTTAGGGTTTAGGGGTTAGGGTTTAGGTTTTAGGGTTTAGGGTTTGGGGTTTAGGGTTTAGGGTTTGGGGTTTAGGGTTTAGGGTTGTTGCTTTCAGGTGTAGCTTTCCTTCGTTTACAGCGTCGGCTTTAAGTTGAGGCCTTCGTGCATCTAGGCTTGCTGTGCTGCCCGAGGTTGACTATTATAGGGGCCTTAAAAATTACCCATAATATTTTGAGTTCAGGGTTTAGGGTTTAGGGTTTAGGGGGTTCCTGATTATAAGTGTAGCACAATATGCGCCAAAACCCAATTCTAATTATTTATAAGGCCTCTATATCACCAGCCAGGATCCCAACTCTTCCGCTTTGAACCCAACGCCCACTCCTGTAGAAGCCCTGTTAGGAAACCATCATGGTCCATCAAACTCTTGTAGAGCCCATATAGGGGTACTTCTCTAAATGAGGGTCCCCAGATAGGTCCACAATATAGTACGGCACCCTATAAAAAGGACCCGAAACCTGATTTACAGAACTACACGTAGATTCCTTGCAGCAGAGCCGAGAAAAGCCGTAGAAAAGACTGCCAACACCCTAAACCCTAAACCCTATCGTGGCCGTGTAGCCTCCCAGGCCGTACACCCCTCTTTGCGTCATCGATGGGTCCGCTTGGTCTATGCTCACCTCTTGGGCTTGGGGATGCGGGAGTTCAATCGGGTAAAGGCCCCTTAAAGGGTGTTATGTTCTATGAGGGGTTTAGCTCTGCTTTTTATCCAAAAAAACCCTAAAACCCTAAACACGAAACTCAACCCTAAACCCTGAAAAAACCCTAAAAACCCTAAACACGAAGCTAAACTCTAAAGCCCTGAACTCCCAAAAGTTGCAAAAAGAATCAGCCACCACATCCACGAAGGCCAGGTCCGATCTCGGCCAGTTGGGCCAGTAGGCGGCGACAGCGAGGCCGACGGCGAAGCTCAGAATCCCAGCGAGGCGCATCCACGGGCTCATGACTACCCAACCGGACCAAGACCCCTGGGTGAACCTCTGCTGTCTTAGGAGGCTTCATGGGGCTTTAGAGGGCCTTTTGTAGGCCTTTGGCCATATTTTTTTGGGGGGGGAGCTTCTTCCGAGTTTGGAGCTAACTTGAGGTCAGGGCCGGGCTTCGTGTATCTACTCAAAAACAGCTGAACTGTAGTTTGCAAGAACGGCCCAGGAGCCAGTAGGGGTTGAGATAGGGCAGGGAGCCGTTGATGCAGAGAAATGCCGCGAGCAGGTTGAAGACCAGCCAAGATACGACGATGCAACGCCAGCCTGTCTGCAAGGTCAAGGCCCAAATCTTCAACTTTGCGGAGGTCTCCCAGGTATGCGAGATGAAGACATCGAAGCGGTCCACCTTGACAGATGCGCCCGAGAGAACTTGGTGATCTGTTGCCGTCAGCTGGCTCGGCTTGGTCATCCATATCCTAGGTGTCGGACCTAGGTAGTGTTATTAGGGGTACCCCTTAAAGG